CCCTTCGTGCCCCACGTTGGGCGCCAAAAAGAACTGTCGTGGTTTAAACCCAGTCAGGTAGCTTGTTCACTCACTCCCAGTGAGTGGTGCCGAGCTGACAACAATCGAGGTCCGTGTCCGTCTCCCCCCCCCTGCCTCCCCGCACCGGGGCTCTCCCCTTCCCCGCTCCCGGAGGAACGGGGAGGAGGATCGAGAGAGTGCAACTCCTACGGGTTGAGACAAAAACAGTCCAGCAACAAATCACCACCGCTACTATCAGCTACAACAATGATAAGGGAAAATAACAAGGGAAGAGAATACGATACCACCGGCCAAGAGAAACGAGCTCCACCCGGAAGCCCCTGTCCTTCCGGGTAACTCCCAGTTACCCCTCACCCCGGGCATGACGTGCTGTGGTATGGAATACCTCCCCGGCTAGCCCGGGTCAGGCGCCCCGTCTCTGCTTCCTCACAGCCTCCCCTCCTCCCTGGCAGAGCATGAGCCTCACAGAGTCCTTGGTCAGGGTAAACATCACTTAGCAACAACCGAGAACATCGGCTTCACCAACACTGTTCTCAAACTGGAAGTCAAAACACAGCACTGTACCAGTTAACACAAAGGAAAAACATGACTGCTACTGCGGAACCCAGGACACTGTTTTAACGCTGTTTTGGGGCTCTGGCCTTGTGTCCCATAGGAGAAGCAGGACAAGGTGGTTTTGGGCTGTTTGGGGGGTGTTTTGAGTTGTTTTTGGCCTGTTTTGGGTCTGTTTTGGGTTCTCACTAGGTGCCACCCATAGGAGAAGCAGGACAAGGTGGTTTTGTGGTGGTTTTAACCCTGTTTTGGGGGTTCTTTTATTTGGTTTTCCCTGTTTTTGTCTTGGTTTCGGTCTGTTTCGGGGCTCTGACCCTGTATCTCATATGAGAAGCAGGACAAAATTGTTTTGGGGTGGTTTTGGGGTGTTTTGGGGGGGGGGGGGTTGTCCTGTTTTGGGGCTGTTTTGGGGTTTTGACCCTGTATCCCAAAGGAGAAGCAGGACAAGATGGTTTGGGGCCGGTTTTTGGAGTGGTTTTGGGCTGTTTTTGTCATGTTTTTTGGCTCTGACCCTGTGTCCCCTACGAGAAGCAGGACAGGGTGGTTTTGGGGTCATTTGGTTGTGCTTTGTGGGTGGTTTCGGGGTGTTTTTCTCCTGTTTTTGGGCTGTTTTGGGGCTGGTTTTGGTCTCTGACCTGTGTCCCATAGGAGAAGGAGGACAAGGTGATTTTTGGGGTGGTTTTGGCCTCTTCTGGGGGTTGTTTTGGCCTGGTTTTAGCCTGTTTTTGTCTTGTTTTGAGGCTGTTTTGGGGCTTTGACCCTGAATGCCTAAGAGAAGCCGGAGAAGGTGGTTTTGTTTTTTTTTGTTTTTTTTGGGGGGGGGCTTTTTTGGGTGTTTTGAGTTGTTTTTTTGTTGTTTTTTCCCTGTTTTGGGGCTGTTTTGGGGCTCTGACCCTGTATCCCACAGGAGAAGCAGGAGAATGTGACCTTGGGGTGGTTTTTGGGGTGTTTTGGGTTGTTTTTGTCCTGTTTTGGGTCTGTTTTGGGGTATTGACCCTGTATCCCATAGGAGAAGGAGGACAAGGTGGTTTTGGGGTGGTTTTAGGATGGTTTGGGGGTGGTTTTGAATGGATTTGGGTTGGTTTTGTCCTTTTTCAGGGCTGTTTTGCACTTCTGACCCTGTGTCCCATAGGAGAAGCAGGACAAGGTGGCCTTGGGGTGGTTTTTGGGGTGTTTTGGGTCTGTTTTGGTGGCTTTTGACAGTTTTTAACCTGTTTTGGGGCTGTTTGGGGTCTCTCACCCTGTATTCCATAGGAGAAGGAAGAGTAGGTGGTTTTGGGATGGTTTTTGGGGTGTTTTGTGTTTTTGTTCTCCTGTTTTGGGTCTGGTTTGGGGCTCAGACCATGTGTCCCATAGGAGAAGCAGCAGAAGAAGGTGGGTTTGATGTGATTTTGTCCTGTTTTTGGGGTGTTTTGGGGCTGTGAAACTCTATCCCCTAGGAGAAGCAGGACAAGGTGGTTTTGGCTGTTTTGGGGCTGGTTTTGGGTTGTTTTAGGCCTGTTTTTGGACTGTTTTTAGGCTCTGACCCTGTATCCCATAGCAGAAGCAGGATAAGGTGGTTTGGGGGTGGTTTTGTCCTGTTTTGGGGGTGTTTTGGTGCTCTGACCCTGTATCCCACAGGAGAAGCAGGAGAATGTGACCTTGGGGTGGTTTTTGGGGTGTTTTGGGTTGTTTTTGTCCTGTTTTGGGTCTGTTTTGGGGGTCTGACCCTGTATCCCACAGGAGAAGCAGGACAAGCTGATTTTGGGATGGTTTTGGCCTGTTTTGGGGTTTGCTTTGTGTGATTTGGGCTGGTTTTCGCCTGGTTTTGGCCTGTTTTGGGGACTGTTTTGTGTCTGTTTTGGGGCTCTGACCCTGTATCCCATAGCAAAAGCAGGACAAGGTGGTTTTGGGCTGGGTTTTGGGGTGTTTTGGGTTGGTTTTGGCTTGTTTTGGTGCTGTTTTGAGGTTCTGACCCTGTATCTCATAGGAGAAACAGGACAAGGTGGTTTTGGGGTGGTTTTAGGATGGTTTGGGGGTGGTTTTGGGTTGGTTTTGTCCTTTTTCAGGGCTGTTTTGCAGTTCTGACCCTGTGTCCCATAGGAGAAGCAGGACAAGGTTTTTATGGGGTTGTTTTGTAGTGTTTTTGGGGTGTTTTGGTGCTCTGACCCTGTATCCCACAGGAAAAGCAGGACAATGTGACCTTGGGTTGTTTTTGGGGTGTTTTGGGTTGTTTTTGTCCTGTTTTGGGGCTCTGATCCTGTATCCCACAGGGGAAGCAGGACAAGGTGATTTTGGGATGGTTTTGGCCTGTTTTGGGGTTTGCTTTGTGTGTTTTGGGCTGGTTTTTGCCTGTTTTGGGACTGTTTTGTGTCTGTTTTGGGGCTCTGACCCTGTATCCCATAGCAAAAGCAGGACAAGGTGGTTTTGGGCTGGGTTTTGGGGTGTTTTGGGTTTTGGGTTGTTTTTGTCATGTTTTGGTGCTGTTTTGAGGCTCTGACCCAGTATCCTCTAGGAGAAACAGGACAAGGGGGGTTTAGGCTGGTTTTGGGATGCTTTGGGGGTGGTTTTGAATGGTTTTGGGTTGGTTTTGTCCTTTTTTAGGGCTGTTTTGCACTTCTGACCCTGTGTCCCATAGGAGAAGCAGGACAAGGTGGCCTTGGGGTGGTTTTTGGGGTGTTTTGGGTCTGTTTTGGTGGCTTTTGACAGTTTTTAGCCTGTTTTGGGGCTGTTTGGGGGCTCTGACCCTGTATCCCACAGCAGAAGCAGGACAATGTGACCTTGGGGTGGTTTTGGGGTGGTTTTGGTTGTTTTTGTCCTGTTTTGGATGTGTTTTGGGGCTCTGACCCTGTATCCCACAGGAGAAGCAGGACAAGGTGATTTTGGGGTGTTTTTAGCCTTTTTGGGCGTCAGATGTATACTTCTGACAAATTATCTGTTGATATTAACAGGTTGAGGAATTTATAGTAAATCTCATAAAACATTAATAGCAAGTTTGGGCCAGACTGGATTTTTCGAGGCCAGATGGATGGTCTCGAATCCAGGCTAAAAGAAGCGTGAAGCAAGAGGACTCTGCATATATTTATTTGGAAATATTTCTCTGGACCAAAAAGAAGATGATGAGGGTGGTGTGGAATTGGAGGCTTCAGGAGAAACACCTGAGTGCAACTTGTAATTACCCTGAGCAGCTTCTACTTTTCTGGATGCTTTCCAGGATGAGTTTTAGCTCGTGTTTATGCTATGCCACTTAAAGACAATTTGAGCTGGTTCTGAATTAAGTTTGCTACAGTGAAAACAAATGGCTGTGTGGTAGAATATTTGGAAAGCTGTGTTCTCTGTAAGAGTTGATAGAAGAGCATCTGCTTTGAATTGTTACTGTTATAAATTGAGACCACAACGGATCATTATCCAATTAAAATTTTATTAATTATAGCAAGTAGAATATAAGCAAAGACAGCGCTGGACGACAGGGGAGTCTGTACTCCGCCAACTGCCGTGCTGAGCAGTTCAAACAGTTCCTTTTTATACATCTTTATTTCCGTTCCCATGAAATAGTGGAGGTACTCTGCGCATGCTTCAGCTGTTGCCAGGGGGTCACTGGTGGTCGTTGAGGCTGAAGCAAGAAGTCTTCCTCCTTCATTCTATAGTTGACCTTCTACTCCTATGTCCTTATATGGAGTTGCTTGTTTTATTTCTGCCAGTTCTGGGAACATCCTACAGTTATCTTTAGTCAACATCTGCTATGTTTACATAAGCGGTACTTGGTTTAGTTTGTGTAAGCGATTGCTGTTATCTTATCTTGCACAAGCTGTGTCCTGCGATTGTTTGAGTAAGCGATTTCATATTCTTTGTTGCCTACCCTTTACATTAGGCTTAACATATATCTTAATAAACAATATCCTTATCCTTAGTTTCTCACAATTCCCCCTTTTTCTTTTTATCCTATTGTTTATTAGATGCTACTTTCATTGTAAGCTAGTTTCTCTCCACACTCTAAACATTTATCACAACATTCGCAAGGTATTTTCTTACAATCACAGATATAGTTTCTACGCGGTATGACACACTCACAATAATCACATAGACCTGTAAGATCTATACCTGTGCCTTCAGGTACACATCCGTTAGGAGTCCAGGTTGCTTTTATGTGTTTATCAGGAGTCTTTACTGACCAGCCTGAGGCTATTGTCTCACATCCCCAATACCCACAATAGTATTGTCCGGGATAATTATAGTAAGTTGGTCCAGAGGTCAGGCATATATAAAATGGAGGCCCCTTTTCACAAGGTATTGGTACTAAATCACAAAGTTCCACTATGAATTCAGGTGGCCCTGGGTCGCTAAAAGTGGCTATTGTTCTCGTTCCTTCCCAAGATATTAGTTCCCACTTAAATGGTTCATGTGGATTTTCCCCTTTTGCCTGGGTTATTATCAATATCAAGACTAACGGTATACCAGGAAAAAGGGTGTTTGTCAATTTTGTCAATTTAAGTATATTTTTACCAGTCCTGGGGAAGTTCAGCCATTGCTGCTTTTGCGTCCCATTGTTCTGGTTCTTTTCTCCACAGTTTGTTCCTCTTCTGCCTCGCCCGTCGACTCGGTTGCTTCGAGCCACGGGGTGTACCATCTTCTCGGCAGCAAGGGAATTCTTCAGGAGGACAGCTGTTTCTGGCTTTCTGCCTATTCACATAGGCTTCCCACTTTGCAGCTTTAACTAATGGGGCAAAGCAAGGCACGGTTAATACTTCCCTTCTGCACTTTATAACCAAAATCTCAGTTACAAAGGGGACTGGTTCGTTAGAGTGGTAACAATAATATTGAGGTTTTACTCCTTTGGTAAAAATCTTCCACCACTCATGGGGTTCTCGAATAATTTCTCGTTTAGACTCTAATTGTTTTAATTTCCACTCAGTAAGAGTTCTTTGGATTTTCTCACACTGTGTGTAAACTCCTATTGGAGGGTATCCATATTCACAGTGTGTCCACCATTTATCCTGGCATACCTTACACCTAAAACAAACAAATGGATAACAATTGCAGTTCAAATTATTACACCTAATTCGTATATCTAGAGTATATATATTATTTACATCAGCATATCTTCTATATTCACTATTGTGTGGTTGCATAAGTTTAGCAATTTCCTTTAACATACTTTGTACGCTTCCATATATAATAGACAAAAAGAGAAGTAATTATAGCAAATATAAACAGCAGTACACACTTTATACCAAAAGGTAATGCGTCAAAATAATCAAAGTTTCTATCATTGCGTTATCTTTTCAGAGTTATTTTGGTGTCACCTGGAGTACTGATTATTTTCCAGTGGGGTTTTGTCACTGGGCCTTTAATGCGACTGGCATGAGTCCATCCACGCTCAGCAGTCCGGACAGCTGTTTCTTCCACTATTCGTGATGACCCATCTATAAATAATACTTCTCCACATTGTAATTCTTCTTCTTCTAAATCTGGCCTAATGCATGTCTGTTGTTCAATTGTTTGAAAACAATTGTGCAATAGTTCATTACCTTCTCCTGGGTATAAAAATTCAGCAAGGTTAACTGCTCCAATAGTTTTCAAAGATAGTTTAGGGGATTCTATAAGTATTCCCTCATATTTTAATAATCGGCTATCTGTAAGCCATTTTTCTGCTTTTTGTTGTAACACCCCCCTGATGTTATGAGGCGCATATAAGACAACCTCTCCATTAAAGGTAATGCGATTTGTTTCCTCAAGTAATAAGGCAGCAGCAACAATGATTTGTAAACAACTCAGCCAACCCCTGCTCACAGGGTCCAACAACTTTGATAGGTATGCCACCGGTTTCTTCTGTCCGGCCCATTCCTGAGTTAATACTCCGAATGCTGTTCCTTCATATATGTTAACAAATAAACGGAATGGCCGCTTTAAATCTGGTAGGCTTAAAACTGGTGCTTGACTTAGCTCTCTTTTGAGACTGACAAACTGCTCTTGATCCTGAGGGGTCCACTTGGGTATTTTGTCTTTAGACAGTTGTTCATATAAGAATTTAACTTTAAAGCTATAGTTTTCTATCGATTGCCTGCAATACCCAAATAGCCCTAATGCCTGCCGAATTTGCCTCTTAGTGACAGGCATAGGTAATTCCAAAATTCCTTTAATGCGCTCCGGATCCAATATCTTCTGGCCGTTAAACAAATAATGTCCCAAATATTTCACTTTTTCCTCCACAAATTGTAACTTTTCTCGTGATACCCGTAAACCCTTTTGTGCAAGAAAGTTTAGAAGTCGAATGCTTTCTTTTCTTACATCCTCCTTATTATTCCCTGCTATGAGCAGATCATCTACATACTGTAACAGCACGTTCCCCGTTTGTACCTGGTATTCTTTTAAGAGCTCTTCCAGGGCCTGTCCAAACAGATTAGGGGACTCAGTAAACCCTTGGGGAAGCACGGTCCATCTCAATTGCTGTCTATGGCCTGTCTCTATGTCTTCCCATTCAAAGGCAAAATAATCACGGCATTCTTCTGCCAGTGGACAGGCCCAAAAGGCATCCTTTAAATCAACCACACTATACCAGGAGTTATGGGGTCCTAGTTTGTTTAGTAGTGTGTATGGATTTGTTACTACAGGGAACCGGGTAATAGTTCTTTTGTTTATTTCCCTTAAATCATGTACGAGCCGATATTTCCCATTTGGTTTCTTTATAGACAAAATGGGGGTGTTAAAGGGTGACATACAAGGCTCTAAGATTCCTTGTGCTAACAATCGATCAATTTCTGGCTTTAATCCTCTCCGTCCTTCTAGAGATATAGGATATTGTTTTACCCTCACAGGTATGTGGGGTTCGGAAATTTGGATTTTAATCGGTGGAATTTCCAGTCTACTAATTGTGTCCGGAGAGTACCAGACATCGGGGTTAATTTGTTTTTGATCATCCACAGTCAAAGGATAAGTAGACACTGTCAGCTCTTGATTTTTCACTTTAATTTCTAATTGCAATTCAACAATTAAATCTCATCCTAGCAGATTAAATTCTGCTTTGGGGACGAGCAAGAGTTCACCCATTCCAAATTTATTTTTAGTTTCAAATATCACATTTTTGATTTTGCTTACTTTAAAGGGTTTTCCTTTTGCCCCAGTTACTTGTACTTTTTCAGGGGAAACTTTACATCCCTCAGGTATTTGCTTAATAGTTGATTTTTCAGCCCCAGTGTCTACTAAAAAGGTGAACTCTTGTTTATGGGGACCTATTCTTAATTTTATCAAGGGCTCATGATGACTCCGGTCCCCTAAGATATAGAGCCCCTGACTCTCCTATTCCGTTTTCAACATTTCCTCATCCCTGATCTTTTGTCTGCAATTCTTCTTTATATGCCCCTTGCAGCACAGCCACTCCAGGAGGCTTTGAGGACACGCAAGCCCTGAGCAAGACAAGCAACTCCAAGACAAGCCCTACTGCAGGCACACTCCGAGTGGGTCCTATAAAGGTTCTTTTAAAATCTCGTAGGTCAGCCCGGAAATATATCCGATCAATTGATCATGGGTATTTCCCTTAGGGGGTACATGCTCCTACAGAGCGTGAGCATCCCACAGGGCACAGCAGCCTCTCCAGCACTCCTTCTGCTCTCACTCTCCTCCGGGTTAAGGGATTTTTTATTATTAACCCAGAGGTTTAATTGCTGTCTTACCCAATCTTCTTCTGACCCATAGACTGGCCAAAAGACATTTTTAGAAATCTTCTTCCCTCCCCATATCTTAGTATTATATTCTATCATTTTTTTGCTTATCTTTCCCTAGGGTTCCAGGGAAATATCTCCAATTGTCTAAGATATATGCCAGAGGGGTATTCTTAGGTACAATGGGTACCCTACCCATGGGAGTCGAAGGCTTGCTGCCCTTCGCCCCCATCTTCTGGAATATCCACAAACATACACTCACTCACTCCTCTTGTTCCTGGCCCAGTCCCTCGCGGGAGATGGAAAACGCAGTACTTAAGAGTCCACACTCGCTTGGTTCAGTATATCGAACCTCTCACTCGTTATATTCCAGGAAACCCAATCCCGCCCGAACGGCAAACCTGCGAACAATTTCGCAATATACTTACGCATCCTGCGTCTTCGTCCGGACTCCCGTGCACAGAATTTTTATGGGATTTTACCGGTTTCTCCTTTGCTTATTATTCTAGAATTTAGGTTCGTCGGTAAGGTTGGGGTGAGCTGTTGGTCGCGGGGCCGCGAAATGTCGCGGGGCGCCTCCCCAGAGGACCAAAGCCCACCGTTCCTTATCCGAGTCACGGCACCAGAAAATTGTTATAAATTGAGACCACAACGGATCATTATCCAATTAAAATTTTATTAATTATAGCAAGTAGAATATAAGCAAAGACAGCGCTGGACGACAGGGGAGTCTGTACTCCGCCAACTGCCGTGCTGAGCAGTTCAAACAGTTCCTTTTTATACATCTTTATTTCCGTTCCCATGAAATAGTGGAGGTACTCTGCGCATGCTTCAGCTGTTGCCAGGGGGTCACTGGTGGTCGTTGAGGCTGAAGCAAGAAGTCTTCCTCCTTCATTCTATAGTTGACCTTCTACTCCTATGTCCTTATATGGAGTTGCTTGTTTTATTTCTGCCAGTTCTGGGAACATCCTACAGTTATCTTTAGTCAACATCTGCTATGTTTACATAAGCGGTACTTGGTTTAGTTTGTGTAAGCGATTGCTGTTATCTTATCTTGCACAAGCTGTGTCCTGCGATTGTTTGAGTAAGCGATTTCATATTCTTTGTTGCCTACCCTTTACATTAGGCTTAACATATATCTTAATAAACAATATCCTTATCCTTAGTTTCTCACAGTTACTTTGCTTTTATTTTGCACTGTGTTAATCACTTTTTGAAATGTTGCAGTACATTTAGATTAAATATGACTACAGTTTCAAGTTGTTGCGTTTTTTTTAATTTCATTTATTTGTTTTAATTTGAAGATAATGAATTTTTGAAATAAAGAAGAGTGAAGAACAACACTTAGTTTTTTTGAAGGCCTAAAATCCCTGCATATCCTCCTGCCAAGAGTTATAGAACTAAAGCTATTTAGTGCCTGTTTCTGTTGCCCAGGTTCTGTGGCTTTTGAATTCGTCATTTCTCCTTATCTTATGGTGGCTTTTTAATGATTGCAAAAGTACTAGATTGTTGAGCAGTGGAATATTCTCACACACAATAGAAATGAGGTGTAATGATTTAAATTTAAAGACTAAAAGAAATAAAAATTAACAGTGCTTATATTAAATATGTATATGATTTCAAAATTAATTTTTAGATTGAGATTCCACCTAAAAATGAGGTGAACACATTTGGCAAGAAAGGTGTTCAAAACAATAGATGAAAAATTTTCTAAGTTTCAACAGCACTCTTATCAGAGTCCTTTCCTCTTCAAGAGAGCTCTTGAAGACATCATCATATCCTTTGTGGTTTATACATAATATTGCACATTTCCTTAAAATCCATTTGTATGTCAGAAATTCATGGCAAGATCTGTACTCAGTAGAGTGGATCAATGTCATGAGGATTAAGAGCAGATAGTTTGCATTTTTTTTATGTTGAATAAAAACATATATTACTGCCTTTAAAGTTTAGCGGCAGCTGTTTCTTAATGTTGTATTGTTATTTACCTTGATACTGTTTTCTTCATTACAAGAAGAACTCAGTGCATAATCTTTATTTCTTGCTATAGCAGAAAAATCTCTAAGAGGCTTTTATCATAGGTGGGCTGTTCTTTTGACCTGGATCTACCTCCCTTTATTGTTATTTCCAATGTCGCTTTCAACTAATTAAAAGCAAGTTTTGATGCAATCTAATATTTGATTGAACACAGGCAGTCAGACATAGAGGTTAAGGGG